GAACTATAAATAAATAAATAAATAAATAAATAAATAAATAAGGAACACATTTCCTTGTTTTCTGTGCTGTTAAAGTTGTCAAGATTAATAAACATACGTTTATAGATAGGGAATAAATTGTGGTGGTAGAATCATGTAGGATATTCATACAGGGATGTTACTGCCTCTGCATTATTTGAAAGCTTGGGATTTGCTTTGTTATAGTCCTATGTTACTACCAGTTAGGAAGAAAGCAATGTCTCAGCCTGACAGCAGGCTGGAGGAGTGAAATCAGAACCAAGCCAGACACGAGGCTCTGTGTGACACCTTCAGAGGATCAAAAAGGTCGGAAAAAATGAAAGTAATGTTGGCAGAAGGAAATGTCAAAAACAAAGGAAGGAAACTGCAGTCGGACAGGTGTGGACAATTAATGTCAAATTCACAAAGAATGTGGTTGCAGTCTATTAGGATCCTGGGTTCTAATCTCTGTTTTATTTATTTTTTTAATTAAAAAATGAGTGTGTGGTAATTTTAATGGCTGGGCACATACATGCCAAGGTGCATACTGTGGTTGGAGAACACAGTGGGGTTTATTTTCTCCTTCCTTTATACAGGTTCATTATATCAAACTAAGGCTACCAGGTATGCTAAGAAAATGCCTCTACTTACTGAGCCATCCTGCAAGCCCTGCTAATCTTCATTATTATAAACCATTTCAACCATTACGCTCTTCTCAAACTACTACTAAATACTTAAGTATGTTAAGTAACTTTAAAGGATAATATCATTAGTCTCAACCAGAAATACTTTGATTGAATTCTACTGTACAGAATACCTATTTTTTCCAGTGATTAACTTTAAGTAGCTGGAGAAAAACTTCTAGTACATGACTTTTCAAGATCCATATCCCAGAAAACACAACTGTGTTCTTTGTCTATGAGATCACTCTATGATGATGTGGTAAAGGTGTTTATATTTAATCGTGAGTCTGTTTAATGTGAATTTACATTGGCCTTTATCGACATTAGTGTCAAAACAGTTCTTTTCCCTACTTAAGTTTTTTATCAGACAATATATTTCGAGCATGTTTTCCCCTCCTGCAATTCCTCCCAGATCCTCCCCACCTTCTCCCAACCAAACTTCATGAGCTCTCTCTCCATCCAACCTCCCCACCAAAAACCCCAATAAAATAAAATAAATTGAAAACCAAAATACCAAAACAAAAACCAAAACAACCAAAATGAAACAACACACGCACGCGCACACACACACACAAACAACAGCAACCCTATGGAGTCTTTCAACACTCAGAGATCTGTGTGTTAGAAGGAGCAGGAAGACTGTAAAAGCCCAGCTGATAGATGGCACTGAGTGAAAGAGCATCTTCCAGAAACAGCAGAACTGATGGACATACGATTTCAGACTGGGACAGGATACCCAACTCTAAAATGCTTCTTAACAATGAATGAAATACACCAAACAGTCTGTAAGCTCAGTCCACTTGTCTCTCAACACTTATACAGTCAAAAATGGGAAATAGGGGATTTTTGTCTTTCCTGCCTCTCCAGATGATCCCTTCTCCTTTCTATCCTGGACCTATATGCACAGCCATTGTATTGTACTTTATTGGTGACTTTATAGTCCATAATAACGCACAGCCCTGAAAAGACAGGAGCAAACACTTTCCCATAATCCCTGGCACTGTTACACAGCCATGCTTGGCTTCCTTGTACAGTTCTGAGGCTTCTCCTACTGTTGTGTACTTTCTGTTATTACTACACAAAATTCACAGATTTCCCCTTTGGTCCCTAGTTTCTTTTTCTTTCTTCTACCTTTTGCTTTTACTTCTTACTCTCTTAAGTTTGTGGACGGAGACAGTATCCCAGCCTTCTCTTCTCACACATCTTCTCCACCCTGGTTTTTTCTCAGCTGATCTAAATCCATCTACTTCCCTTTCACTCTTTGTCTAATATTCTAGTGTACATCATATTATCCTTTTTTATCTTGCAAGAGTTACTAGTGTTAAAGGGGCCGCTACTTTTAAACTGAAGAGTGTACTATTTGCATAAAGGACCTACCCAATAGTTTCAGAGATAGCTCAGCAGTTAAGAATACTGGATGGTCATCTAGTGATTCAGGTTTGATTCCTAGCACCCATATGGTGGCTCATAATCATCTGTAGCAGCAGTTGGAGGAGGTTTAACACACTTGTATGGTCTCGAAGGGCATCGTACACATAAGTGGTTCATAGACATACATGTAGACAAAATACATATGTAAAATAAAAAAAATAAAAATTTAAAAATAAACACATCATTGCCAGGGTGGGGGGATATCCAAAGAAGGCTTCCACCCTCTCAAAAGAGAAGGGGACGTGGGTGGAGGAAGGACTGTGTGAGAGGGGTATCGGGAGTGGGGCATCGATCGGGATATAAAGTGAAGAAATAAATAAAGTAATGGAACAATGGGCACATCATAGGTTCCATAGGAAGTCTTAAGATATACAGTTTCTTACACTGTACCCAACATTACAATGGAATAAAGCTAGAAATAAAGTAGAGAAACAGCAGAATATGTACAAACTTGAAGAATGAAAAACACTAGTAAATCGCAGATCAGAGAAAATGGATACTAAAATATCTCTGGTATTGAGTGAAAATGAAAGAACATCATTCCAAGCCTAATGGGATAAAGTAGGAACAATAATAAGATAATAATAATAAGTTCATAGCTATGGGGCCTGTGTGGAAAAAAGGCCAGAGAGCTGAAGTAAATTGCTTAACAACATATTCTCTGAACTTAAAAAAAACAAGAGCAAATCAAAACCCAAATTAGACAATGGAAAGAAATAAACATCAGGGCAGAAATGAATTCACTGGAACCAAACACAATACATGAATCAATGAGAAAAAGAGTTGGTTCTTTGATAAGATAAACAAGGTCAACAATGCTTAGTCAAATGAGCAAAGAATCAGAAAACTTACATTCATGAAGTAAGGGCTGTAAAGGGAGACAGGACAAAAGATCCAGTAAAATTCAGAAAACCATTAGTGTGTATTTCAAAAGCTTATATTTCATTAAATTAGAAAACGGAAAAGGATACGTTTCTAGATGTACCAAAATTAAATAATCACAAAATAAAAATTTAAGCAGATCTAAAAGTAACAAGGCTGAAGAATAAGAAAAGTCTCTCAACTAAAAAATGTCTACTGCTAAATTGAACCAGATCTTTATAGGATAATTGACAATGATGTTTCAAAAGCTACTTATTCTCTGAAACAGAAAGGAAAAGAACATGCTAAACCACTTCTGCAAAGCCAGTATTAGCCAAGTACTAAACCCAGAATTTGACATGACAGAAAAAAAGAAAATTACAGAACAATGTCTGATTTGTCCTGATTTATATAGAATCAAAAATAACCAATACAATACTTAAAAAATGCATTCAAGTACACATCAAAAATTTCACTATAATCAGGTCAGTTTCATCCCAGAGATATATGGATGGTTCAATACGTTTAAGCAAATAAATGATGAATCACAGAAATGGACTCAAGGACAGAAATCACATGATCATTTCTCTGTAAACTGCTAGAGGGAAAAGTATGGGAAATACTTCACAGTATCTGCACAGGCGAGCACTTTGTGGGGACCAGTTGCTCAAAATGAAAGACGTACGGTAGACAAATGAGACCTGATGATGTTAAAAAGCAAAGGAAAAAAAAAGTTTGCAGAGATCATACAGAATTGGAAAGGAGCTTTACTAGTTGTATTTCTGACAAAGGACTGGCATCTAGCATATGCAACAAATTAAGAAAACTGAAGATGAAGAAGGAGAAGGAGAAGGAGAAGGAGAAGAGGAGGAGAAGGAGGAGGAGGAGGAGGAGGAGAGGGGGAGGGGAGAAGAAAAAGAAGAAGAACAACAAAAACAACAACAACAACAAGCTGATAGGAGGAGGAGGAAGAGGAGGAGGAAGAAGAAGAGGAGGAGGAGGAGGAGGAGGAAGAGGCGCAACAACAACAGATCAATCACAAATGGGATGATGAAATAAACAGAAAATTTCAAAAAGTGAAATACAAATGGCCAACACATATGAAAAGAATCTAGAGTTTACTAGCTAGAGGAATGCATTTCTTGACATCACAATTGGAACTGTAATCATCAGGAAAACAAAAATAATGAGAAAACCCTTGCATACGGCTGAGAGAAATGTGAGCTATTCCAGCCACCATGATAAAAGTCAGCATTGAGGTTTTGTTGAAACCTATAATAGGACCCAACTATAGCACTTCCCCAGAACTATAAGTCAATACATCTCACAGATAACTTACAACAACGTTTACTGGATTGCACTGTGTACAACAGCTAAGCTATGAAACCATTTCAAATGTTTATCAACAGAGGAATGGATAAAGAAGATATCATTTATATATACAGTGGAATTTGTTCAGCCATAAGAATAATGAGATTATATTGTTTGCAGGAAAATGGATACATCCAGAGATTATCATATTAAGTGAATTAACTGAGTCTCAGAAAGACAAATATCACATTATTTTCCCATTTGTGAGTCCTAAATTTTATATAGGTACATTAAAATCAAATATATACAGAAGAAACGAAAGCAGACACAAAGCTGTCTGGAAAACAAGGGAATGCGGTCAAGAAAGGAATGTAGTGGATCTGAGGGAAGAATGCGCTCGAAAGTCATTGCAGAGTTACATAAAAATGGGCTGTTTGACTCTGTGTAATAAACAAAGTTTCACATATTAGCCCGGACTCTTTAAAACGTACCACATTGAATAGTTACAAATTAAATGAAACATATAGTAACAATAATATACCAAACATAAAACTGCCTCTGGATTCCAAGCACTGGGTTTTAACAATTGTAAAACACACTCAAAGAATAAATCTTTGCATGTAATAGTTACAAAGTATCGAGAGAGACCTCTTTTGCCTTCCCTTGGAAATATTCTCTTCACAGTCTTTTCAAGAGAAAGCCAACAGGAATACATACATGATGGTGTTGATGCCGGACAGCTGCTGGAACATCTGTAAACCACATCCCACAACTAACGCTCGGCGGGTTGGTGGGTAACTCAGCATTCTGCAGATTATAGGTCCAGCTGTTTTTTACAAAAGAGAGAAAGACACAGCCATTACTTTTAGCTCTTATAGAAAATCTCTGTGAAATTAATACCACTGGACATTTTGAAATATGACTTTTATAGAAAAATGGGAACAATGCATTCCTTCAAAAACCAACAGAGTTTTAGTTGTAATTTTAAAAGTAACACCAGAGAATTTTGATAGCAACCCATGGGTACTATTTAGACATACATAACTGAATCTGTCATACAATTATTCTTCCTTGAATCCTTTCCAGTTACAATTATTAATTATGTCTTTTGCTTTTCTACTTTTTCTACAATTAAATATGACTTAAAATGGATTCATGTGGGACCCTTTACAAAGTAATTGGCAAAAACAACCACATGAAATAGCATTTATTATGAGAGAGAGAGAGAGAGAGAGAGAGAGAGAGAGAGAGAGAGAGAGAG